GCCTAGATGGCAGCACAAAGTCGCACAGAAGCTCCATGATGCCAACCAAGGTATTTGAGCAAGTGCTGTCGGTGCCTCTTCTCGTGGCGAGAAGACTGGTCTGCCTTTCGAGAGGACGGCCCCCTCGGCGAATGGCTCCTCCACACGCCCATGACCAAAGTAAGGATGGAAAATGATGGAAAACCCGTCCCCTGAAACTCCAACATCCGGAGTCCTGGTGCCACCGCGCAAGTCGTCGCGTGTGGGTGCCGACTCTCCAGCCTCTGCACCATCAGCCATCGACCTTTCTGACGGGAGGGACAGCTGAAGCAACCCTCCGGATGCATCCGCTGACTGGGTTTGGCGGAACGGCTTACTTTGGGCGCTTGGCGCTTCTGCACCCTTCTTGGGCTCGCGTTGGAGCTTCCACTTCATGGGTCGACTCCTGAGGAAAGCAACTTTGCAGGCCTTGACATTCAAAAGGCCATGAGAGCACTCAGAACTCGCTCCTCCCGCTTGCTCCATCTTCAGCTGGCGGACTGTCGCCGCCTTGCCTCCATGTACAGCGGAGGCTATGCGGCTCACGCCGGGCCCACCAACAAAAGTCTGAACTCTCTCCGACCTGCTCTCTAGTCGAGAAGAGGCGCTCCTGGCAGACATCAAGATAGCGGATCGCACAGCATCGCACGGCAGTGCTACCTATATTCGCATGCTACTGCTACGACTGCACGCCATCGGAACTGCGAGCGGCCTGGCTTTGGAAGCTCCGGTGTCGCGCAGCTCCTTGCCCCGCGCGCTCCTCTTCAGCAGCAAGTGGAATCAGGGGCGACGGGTCCCCAAGTTGCTGGAAGATATGAGCACTTGCAGCCGGACGAATGCACAACGGCGGCCAACATTAGCCAACCCGGCATGAAGCTTGCCATTAAATCCCGAGCCTCGACGTGATGCGAGAGTTGGCATCTGCCGAGCCCACAGCTGTGCCCTCGTCCGGATCCTCATCTGCCTCCGTGCGCTCGTGCCTGCCACAAGCAACGAAGCTCAAGCCGCGATCCGGATCACGGCCTTCGCGTAACTTCCCCTGATGGCCTGGCACCCTGGNNTCGGGCAGCTGCGCCTCAAGCTCATGGCTCGGCAGCTCATCGTGTTTTCCCCCTTGAGGAGTCCCCAGTACCTGCGATGCCGGCGTCGTGCTGGAGCTCCTGCGGTCGAGCGGAAGCATGGACAGATGTCCTTTTGGGGCCCCGCCAATGACAGCGTACGCATATGTCACTGTGATGCCGCGCCACTGCGCGTACATGCGAACCCCTGTGCAGAGGGGTGGCAAAAAAAGACCAGGCACTACTAAAGGCTTCAAGACTGATAAGGACATTTAAAGATCTCTTGTAGCTAGACTTTCGGGAGATTGGACTGCGTGCAGATACGAGGACGTCCTCACCATGAGAGGCACTCGGCCACAGAGTGCGTCTTGAACGGCTTCTTGGATCTCCGCCTCCACAGGAGGCCTCGTGGCACCAAGTGGCAGAAACCATACCAAACTCACACGATAGACGGGCCCTTGAATCCTTTCAGTTCTCTCGGCCCCAGTCCAGCTCCTCATGTGAGCTCTTTGACCGCGATGGGAAAAGGATTCGCCGACCACTCGAAAGGCAGCCTAGTTGTGGTTCCAACCAAAAGCTGGGCGACGGGCGTGCTTTTTGCGTCCGTCGTGCTGTGCTTCCACTTGTGGTGGCTCCTTTGGAACTAAAATGAACTAAGGATTATCAAGATCGCCCTCAAGTCCTGCCGCTCGGGTCTTCCTGGACCCCGCTAAGCGGCAATCGCTCGCTGCCATCGTCCCCATGCCTGCAGGTGCGCGAAAGCAGCGAAATAATTCGAGCCGAGAGAAGCTCCACGAAAGCCGTCGTATATAATATAGAGCTTTCTGCTATGCTCAAGGTATCTACGCCATCTAAGAACCTTCGAGCTGTAGCGACATCTTCACGCACGGAGGTGGCCCACACAGTCTTCCACCAATGATTGTGGGTTCATGCCTGCTCGTCTGAAGCCGAGGCGAGACGCTCCTCCACAATCCATGCATCCATGCACCGCTTATGAAGATTCCCCTCAGCTCTACAAACAGACTGCATGCCAGCAGACTGTGCCAAGACTCCCAGATATCGGATTTACGGAGATGCGGAGAACTCTGCGAAGCCCGCCTGGCTTTGGGCATCGCTGCAAGATCCGGCTCCTCGGTCTCCTTCTTGCCGCGCGGGCTCCTCATGCACATATGTTTATGCATGAAATTATTATGTGCATACATGTATAGATGCTTATATATACACTCACATATGCAGTTATGTACACACACACATGTGAATGTATACATATATATATATATATGTATACATGTGCACACATACATGCATGTATACATACATATGTACATACATAATACATGCATACATACATACATACATACATACATACATACATACACAAATACAATACATACAAACATACATACATACATACATACATACATACATACATACATACATACATACAACGATACCTACATACATACCTACATACATACATACATACATACATACATACATACATACATACACAAATACAATACAACACATAAGTATCAATATGTATGTATGTATGTATGTATGAATGTATGTATGTATGTATGTATGTATGTATGTATGTAGGTATCGATGTATGAATGTATGTATGTGTGTATGTACGTACATATGTATGTATGTGTGTATGTATGTATGTATGTATGTATGTATGTACGTATGTATGTATATGTATGTGTATGTGTATGTGTATGTGTATGTGTATGTGCATGTGCATATTTATATATGCATATGCAGATACGTATGTGTAGAAATATACAGCTATATATATATACAGAGAGAGAGACATACGTACCTACATACAAACTTTCATGCACACAGACATACAGACATGCATGCATGCATACATACATGCATACATGCATACATACATGCATACATACATGCATAGATGCAGATACATACGTACATACATATTTATTTATTTAGAGAGTGAGAGAGAGAGAGAGAGAGAGAAAGATATATATATATATATACATATGTATATATATATATATATATCAATAAATGTGTGCGTGTGCGCGCGTGCCTATATCTGCTGGTGTTTTCTATCGGTCTGCCTCTCTACTTACCAGCCTACCTACCTACCTACCTACCTACCTACCTACCTACCTACCTATGAAAAGGTGCAAGAACATGTTTTTCTTGACTTTCAACTTATGCATTTGTTGATTTGGGATTGAAAGCTACTTGTTGATCCATGTCCTCATTGATATACTATATACATATACATACATGTGTATGTATACATATACACATGTGTATATTTATGTATGTATGTTCTTGGATATAAATGCTTGTTTGCATGTGATTCATATTTGTATTTTGTCTTTATATGTACATGTATCATTGCATGTATTTACGTGTGTGTGTGTGTGCGTGTAATTATCTTTGTCTTTATCCTTTTGTATTTCTGTTTACTTGTTTCTACTTAAACTTAGATGAACATCTGTCTCTACTGTTTCCTCTTCTTTACACGCAGATGTATACCGATATTCAGTGCCCAGATCCGGCGGTGCCTGGAGTGGCGCCAGGGGGGCCCGGGCCCTGACCGGCGCTGGGCCTCCTCAGGGCACGTCCCTAAAGGAGAAGCGATAGCACCTCAGACTTACAGTAGGGTGACGCAATAAGTATGACTGATGAGGTATCATGGCACATGAGGCGATGATGAGTTAGCGATAAAAAGGTACGCATCTCTAGCGAGACAAGTGCCAGCATGATCAAAAGGACAGCTTGGGGCTTGTCTCTCTTGGCTCTTCTCCTGGCTTCGACGTGAGAGTTTCCGAAAATTAGGGTACCTTATTTGGGGATCCTTATAAAAAGGGGTCCTACTATTTAGGGTACTATATTAGGGTCCCCTTATTTTCGGAAACCCCCATATGCAACAGCCTCCTCTTCTGGGACCGGAGGCTCCTTGCTCGGCATGCCCTGGCGCGTCAGTGCGAGAGGAGTCAGCAAAGTCGCCCACTCGCGTCACTCGGGTCAATCATCCTGCTGCCCATTAGCATCATTAGCGTCGTAGGGTGTTGCCGAGTTTGGGTGGTGAAATGATCGAAAGCTGACCTGTGAACTAAGTAAGCTTCTGGCTTGTCAACAAGACCCTTCATGAACTCCAAAACATGCAGCAGAACATCCCTCTTCACAGGCGCTAGTCACTAAGTCACCAGCCGAGGCGTGCTACCACAAGAGCAAGTAAAGCAGCTAGCTGATGACAGTCGCAGTAGCGGTGGATGTGAAGAAGCCTCCTGCCTCCTGTATGCCTCGACGCGACATTGCTGCAAAAACACGGAGAGTCGGAACCCAACTTCGTATCGACTCATCGACTCGAGTCGTGCACAAGGGTCTGCCGGCGCCTTCCGGAGAGCGTTGCGCAGCGTGACCTTCCAAGATCTCAGTTCCCCTCAAGGCGAGGGCTACGGCTGAATTCGGGGCGACCTTGGACGACCTTCGTATTACTGTAGCGTGCCAGCCGTATCTCCTAAGGACTCCTAGCTTCGGAGCTCAACGCAATGCACGCCTTGACGACGAAGCTGAAATTGAGGAAAAACAAAGAGACACCCCCAGAAAGCAGGTTTGCGGCCTTGCCCACAGTTCGACGGTGGTTCCTGACCGCGGATCCGGCACTTTCATTCCCAAAGGTTCAGTGAGAAATCTTTCAACCATGCACAAACAGATCAGGATATCCTAAGAAAACTAGAGTTGGTTAATTTGGACTGCAACTCCTCTTATCGCAGGCATGCACTCCATCTTTTCTGCTTCGCAACGGATGACTTGGTCGAACCCTTCCGCGTGAAACATTGAAGCTAGAAAATGGATGGTGGTGTTCCTGCCTGCTCGGACAGCTTGATAAGCAGCGTGGAGCTCACAACAACTATTCGGACACCTTACCTTTGAGATCAAATCATGCGGTTGTCAGCATCACCTGTGGCTGCGGGCGGGTCGGCTTTTCCCGGCTGTCCATCCTCGACAGGTCTACGAGGCATTGAGTTCAAGTCTACTGACAGAGGGTCTCTTTAGGGTGTAGGGTTTAGGGTTTAGGGTTTAGGGGTCTCCTTACACACCTAGGGCTAAAAAACACAATCTTTTGAATGGGAAGGCCCGGTCCTTGAGGGGTGGGGTTGCCTTGGTGGCATCCGGTTTCTTCTCGTCCTTAGCTGCTTAGCTGCATTCATCGGTACTGGCGGCTTCGAGCCACGCGGTTCGACTGAGCGTGGCAAGATGGCAAAGGCCTGCTGAAAGTATATTATAGTAAATTATATTATAGTATAGTATAGTATATGAAACTGTAGTATATACTATAGTATATGATGGTATACTACCTGATTACAGACTGCTTTGCGTTTGAGCTTCCTCGAGGCCGAGGATGTCTTTGACCAGGCCGGTGGCGAAGGTCTGCACCTGGGCTCACTTGGATGCAGTGTCGGGTCATTCAGAGCAACGACTCGTTGCGGCCAGGCACCAGCAGAGCAACCAATGCAAAGCCGACCTGGACGTGGAATTCAGCAATCGCTGGTGTTCGCAGTGCTCTCGCGTTGACACGAGGAGCATGTCGCAAATCGGCCACGGAGCAGACTCGGCAACGATGATGTTCTGCTTCTCAGCCCCTTCCTCGAGGTTAACGACCGACCTGGCTCTGAAGCCCTGCTGAGCTCGAAGTTCTGCTGTCCCCGGACTCCGAGTTGAATCGCCCAGCAGAAGACGTGTGAAACCAGAGCAGGACAAGGATCAAGAGCGCATCGGATCCCGGTGGTGCCCCACAGATAAACGGCATATGCTGACGGTAGAACAGGGAGATCTCCGGTGCATGCGTCTGTAGACAGATCGATTGGCAGATCGGCATGCATGCATGATATGCACATAGTACAGACATGCAGATATGTAACATTTGACAGAGAGCGAGGTATATGGCTTAAAAAGTGCAAGCATACCGCGGAGCTATTCGCTGGGCCTGGTCTTCTGCTCGGCAGTCCGATGGACTCGCAGACTTTGCTTCAGAAATGCTAAGCTCGATGGCCCGAAAGCCGCCCTAACACCAAAACCGTGACCCTCAGACCCTGTGAGGCCCAGACGTAAGCAGCAGAAGCCCGAGTGATGCGTCGAGGAAGGCAGTCTTCAGGCAGCCCACCCAGTGCGCCACGATAAACTCCGGCACGCCTCTAAAGGGCTCTAGAAGTCTGGGATGTCGGGGGCAGTTAGCAAAGCCTGCTGAAAGCAAACTCATGTCCCGAGCAGAAGTAGTGGCCCTTGCGACTGTCCGAGCCCCTCAGCACGGAGCTGCACAGCCTAGCCGGAAAGTTACCAAAGCATCTGGCGATGACGACAATAATGGTGATGATGTTGATGATGAAATGGTGATGGCGATTTGGTGATGGTGATAAAGATTGTGATGGTGATAGTGGTGATGATGATGATGATGATGAGGGGGAAGAGGAGGAAGAGGCGGAGGAGGACGAGGAGGAGGAGGACGACCACAACCACAATGGCGATGACGACGGTGGTGTTGGTGATGCTAAAGGTTGTGATGGCAAAGGTCATGATGATGGTCTGTCATGCTGATGAAGGTCGTGATGGTTGATGATGATGACAATGCTAATGGTAATCATAATAATAATGATGATGAAGATGATGATGGTGATGATGATGATCATGGTGCTGATGGTGATGAGGCTGACGACGATGATGAGGATGAGTTGGATGAGGATGATGAGGATGAGATGATGATGAAAATGATAATGATAATGGCGATGATGATGATTATGGTGATGGTGATGGTGATGATGGTGATGATGATGATGGTGGTGATGGTGGTGATGCTGGTGGTGATGCTGATGATGATGATGATGATGCCGATGGCAATGATGATGCAGCTAATGCCGAAATAGTCATGGTGATGGTGATGATGAGAACATGAACCTCCTCTTGTCTTGCGCCAGCTTGCACCAATACTATTATGTATGGAGTCAAAGAACTCTTGAACATGACCGATGTTTTTTGTGATACACAGTGTCGCCATCCACTGTTCTCGTTTCTGCTCTGCCTGATACTTCGACAAATTCTACATAATCCCTGCAAACTGCGGCCCGGTGACCAACAGGGAGCGCCCCCAGGATGTACCAGTAGGAGTCGAATGGCACAGGGAGAATGTGGGAAAGACGCAGCCTGGGCTTGATTGCCCGAAGCTCCTGTCAGTCTGTTCTACTCTGAAACGGCAGTCTGTAGTTCCTCAAAGCCGAATCCCGACGGCGTGCCACATCTGTGTTCTGTAGATGTTCGAGGCGCAGCTAGGCGCACTATCGCAAGCCTCTTGCTGAGCTGAGGCTTCAGAGTTTGGATAAGATAAGCCTCTGTCTGCTCTGTCCAGCAGGAGAGGATTCTGAAGCAAGCCGAGGGATCACTGCCAATCAAGCATGATTCACAACTTCTCCCCCTACCTCACGCATCATGTTCAAGCTGGACCCGAACAAATCAAGGATTCCTGGGGACTAGTACATACATGCGCTATGATGTACCGTTACATTCTTGCATACTGAGCCGCAGAAGCGTCATCTTCAAGCCCTCTTTCTCGGCGGCCCGCTCGAGCCTTCCATGGGAGGTCACTGTACAAAAGAACGGGACCTCCTGCCCTTGTGCGATGTGTATGTAACATATATCCTAATACAGTATTATTAATAATGAATGTTGGAAAAGAGTAAATGATGCACATTGATAAGCTTCAGCCTTCCGAACCACGGAGCATCTCCCAGCTTCGGCTCACCGGGAAGCTGAAAGTCTCGCAGACCTGCAGAGATGCTTTCAAGTTCCATGTGGCTCGGGAGCACCGAAACCCCCGAAAGACTAAGACACCATGACGGCTCTGTCAAGCCGCGCTGAAAGAAGAACGTGCGGCCGATGAAGAAGTTCACCTAAGCTGGCTCCAGTCTCCGGAAATCATCTCAATTCCAAAGCCCTTGCCTGCCAGGTTACTGCAAGCAAGACACAGTGGCTCCCACCGTTTCACAGGTTGCGGAGATCAGCGCGCCAGGGATGAGGCCGCCAAAGACAACCTAAAAACTCCGTGAAAACTCGAGGCAAGACTTCACGGCTCCAAACCCTAAACCATAGCTTCCTCGGGCTTCAAAGTCAGGGAGGGATGTACGGGAACAGCGGTTGTCTTTACATCGAAGGTTTCGGCGGCAGGAAAGGCCACCCAAAAGAAACCCAAGCGTTACTGCTACCAAAAAACTACGGTTGTAGCTGCCATCCATGCTGATTGTGGGTAGTTATAGTAATAGATTTGTAGAATCTCTTCCTTCTTACTCTGCACCATCGCTATTGATTGCTACGCATGCTAGAGAACTATGGTCATTCTGTATCACTCTTGCATGTATGTCCTTAACCCCATCCAGGTAGCTGGGGACATCGTCTTCAAGGCCACCTGAACCGGCAGGATTTCAGAAATCCTCAGTTGGCCCATGCAGCTCCCAGATCTCAGCTGTGACCGTTGCAGTTTCATTACGCTTGCCAGCCGTCTGACATCTGGAAACTAGGTGAGCAGCAGCGTCAGCTTCTCGACGATGAAGGCCACTGTGTAAATAAGAGCTTTGAAGAGTGTGTCGTAACTCGAAATGTTTCGAATTACGTCCTCGGAGCAAACGTGTGTCATTCGGGTTGTGGCTATGACAGCACAAAGCGGGTATTTGTCTAAATGAGCCCTCACAGCGTGGACAATTGGAAGTCGAGAATCTCAACGTGGAGACTGCTGCATGGAAATGACTCCCAGCAATTCCCCTAAACTGATTCAGACGGAACCAAGTTGGACCAAGTTTCATTCAGGGTCTGCCTGTTGGGCACACCAATCTCGTTAGCGAAACCGAAGAAATCGTCCAGAGACGATATCCTGAGATCGGCATTCGATGCTCACAAGAAGTAATTGAAATGGCGAATCCACAGAATTCCTCACGTAACTTCGCCATGGCCATTGGCTAGGCCCTCATCAATGCGAGCCGAGGCTCACTAGTAGCCGTGGCACCACGGTGCGCAGGAAAATTAAAATGAAAATTGCATTGCCGTATGTGAGGAAGCTTACCTTCGCCGAGCTGCAAGCGACGTGTGACGGAATCGCCCGGCATGAAGCTGAGGTCCACACAAAGCCCTCCTTCACGGACTCCTTGCTGAAGACCCTGGCATTCTCGAAAGGACATCTGCAGGTGACTTCAACGCTGGGTTCTTTGTGTCGGCGCCACAGAGGGAGGAGTGCGGGTGATGCGGTCTGAAGTTTTCAGGATTGCCGAGAACATCCGCGAGCCGCGGCACTTGTGGAGGGCCTGTAGACGCGCATCTTCCAATACCTTCGCGGAAAGACAGCGAATGGAAGCTTTGGAAGGTCGGACCTGTGTCGGAACCTCCTGTCTTCCACATCACTGCTGCACTTCCGCAGGCTATCTCCAAAGGTACTCAGATTTCGAAGATCCAGATGAACCCAGGCCGAAGGGCCGGAATGAAATGCCACGACTTGGAGCCCAAGGCGCTCATACGAGAGGCTCTGTAGCTTGTTCAGCTCTTCACCCAAGGCTTCGTCAGACTTCCCACGAAGGTAAGACTTCTTGGCGAGAACAGCCTCCTCAAAGACAGGATGAAAGCGGTTCCGACCGCAGTCTTAGACTCTTAGACCACATGGGTCACATTGTGGGCAATATTGCAAGTGCGCTGCCATCTTTATAATATCTGTGGTAAAGCATCATAACCGGGTATTTGATTACGCTGCACGGTCCAGAGTCTCCCAAATGTCGGCACCCTCGAGATTTCCAACATCCGTGTTTGAGGGCCCCTCCTGCTCCGCCGTCATGCGCTCGACCTTCCTTGGACGCACACCCCGCAGGAATGGAGGAATTCGCTAAAATGCGCAAAGTGCATGCTTTACAAACTCTGCTCAGGTCGAGATGGAATCTCCAAAATCCGTTGCAGACTGACGCACTGCTTGCGAGGTGCTCCGTCTGGTTCAGGAGCGCTTTGGCTTCTGGGGCCGTATCCTCTGTAGGTGATACAGGCACTGGCAGGTTTGACCAGCCATTCCAGCAAAATCTAGCACCACGGAGCACCTCATCCAGGGGCATGAAGACTTCCAGGTCATCCCAGAATGCCTGTGACTGCAGAGACATGACCCTTGAACGAGCTGAATTCTGTCACGCTGAACATGTCCATGCATCACTGGCCACCATTGAAGACACCAGCAATGAGTCGGAACATTGGCAATCTGATCCGGGCAGTATGCCAAAGAGCTTGTTGAAGTCAGACAGAGGGGCCAAATTTCAAAAGCATCGTCCCTGTCGGTCCCGGTAAAAAAAAGGAAAAGGAGACACAGACATCAAATCAAACGCGTGCACTGACATAATGGAGACCCCTGATTCATGAACCCGGTTGCGAACGAATCCCTCTGAAGATCTCTGTTCAGCAAACACAGCTTGTCCACCAGCGCGCGCCTTTGTTTCCTCAAACCAATTTCCTTTCGGCGGCTTTGTCGCCACCTGGGCCACTCACACATGCAGCATGTTGATGCTGCTTCCGAATACACTAGTACAGCATGTTCGAAGACAACAGTGTACATAGGATACTCACATACACAAGACTTCAGATATATAAGCACGGGGGCATCACATATGCTTGCTTATTTTTGTTTTGTTGTTACATGTCTGCTTAGCTCTATAGCACATATAGATAGATAGATAGATAGATAGATAGATAGATTGATTGATTGATTGATTGATAGCTAGATAGATAGATAGATAGATAGATAGATAGTTAGATAGATAGTTAGATAGATAGACAGATAGAAGGATGGATAGGTAGATAGATGGATAGATAGATAGATAGATAGAAAGATAGATAGATAGATAGATAGAGACGTAGATAGATAGATAGATAGATAGATAGATAGATAGACAAATAGATAGATAGGTAGGTAGGTAGATAGAAAGACAGATACATATATATGTATACATAGATAGACGGATATATGGCATAGCAAGTACATATGTAGATATATATATATATATATGCTAGCCCCCCCTTTCGCTGACTCACGAATATGAGTACCCATAGTGGTACTACCAGCAAAGCTACTTTTGGTAATCATAGGGGGTTACCATATATATGTATATGTATATGCATATGTACATGTATATGTTCATATGTATGTATATATATATACATATACATATGTATGTAGTTGTTTGGGTATGTGTTTGTCTATTCATTTTTTGTTTCCATTTATACACACAGTTACCTATGTATATAGTACACAAGACATACATATGTGTATAGTACAGAGAATAAACCTATGTATATAGTACACAAGACATACATATGTGTATAGTACAGAGAATAAATGTACATATGTCTCCAGCAATGTTTCGCATGGGCATAGCTACGACATTACAGCGCTCCATGATCTGCAATCTATTTTAGCTCTGCGTGGCCTGAATCCAGTATTCCCTTAGTGAAGAACAGTATGAAACGAATAGCTGCATAGCACAGCACGGGCTACAACGGCATGCTGTAGAATGTAGTGCAAGTTAACATAGTTCAAAGTGTACTGGAGCATTGGGAGATCAAGACAACAGAGTGTGAAAGAAAGAGTGTGGTTGTGAGAATCGAACCTATCCTTGCATGACACAGCGGGCTAGCACTAAGGCACAATTAGAGCCTCAAAAGTGGGGCACAGACAAAATCGAAGTTAGCGGTAGGCAAAATCCTCTTGGAAAAGCAAGCATTGAAATTCCGAGCTGGCCACGTCGCTTGCAGGGTAGCGGGTGGGAGACCAAGAAGTTGCGAGATCAAGAACCCGAGCAAGACCACAGGCACCATGCAAAAGAGGATACCATGGAGTGGGGGGCGGGGGGAGTCAGGCCCTGGATCAAATTATCCCGAGACGGATAGCATAAATATGCATGAGTACGCGCGAAGATACATAAATACATATAGATATAGACCAGATGTATATATAGACACAGATATAGATAAAGACACAGATAGACATATAGATATACATGTAGGTATAGATTTGGATATAGGTGTTTGCATATATATATATATACATGTACATAGGCACAAACACTCATATAAGTTCGGCTATTGAACTAAACCGTTGAGTGGGGTTTTCGTCTGTAGAGTCGATTCTGATTCTTGTAGAAGAAAACAGAACTAAACTGCGTTGAGCCGAAAGCTGTGATAGCCAGAATATGACACAGTTCTCATAATGATGGTCAGTGACCTGACAACGGTCAAGATAAGTACAATACGTTCCGATCATTGCAGAAGTGGGGTTGTACAATAATCCGGCGTATTGCTCATCCGAAAATGTCGATAAGGTCTTCACCGTGCTTACTCCCGCTCATCTTAGCTCAAGCGACAGAC